TTGTGTTACTTTGGCTCTCTGTGGGATAAAGTTTCACTTGTCATATTTCTGTCCTCATTGTTGTTGATGTTATGTGCCCTCAAGTCGTCTCTGACTTATGGGACCTTATGAATGAAAGCTCTTCAGAATGTCCGTCCACAACAGACCTGCTCAGTTCCTGTAAATGCAAGACTGTGGCTTCCTTTATGGAGTCGATCCACCTCTTATTTGGTGTTTCTTTTCTTCCTCTGCCTTCAACTTTCCCTAGCATGACTGTCCTCTCCAGGGAGTCTTGCCTTCTCATGATGTGTCCGGCGTATGACAGCCTCAATTTTGTCATTGTTGCTTCCAGGGAAAGCTCCTGTCCTTAGGCAGCCTATGAAGGCACACAACCTCTTAAGACAAAAAGTCTACTGTAGTGAAAGAGTTGGGTCAGAGGGGGGTGTGGAAGAGAGGGGTGAGGGTAGGAAGAGAGGGGTGTGTCTGCTGTCTCCTGGCTTTCTGGCATGCCCCCACTCATCTATGGTACCTCCCTCAGAGATGTCCCTGTTTCAATTATCAGTCTTCTGGCCAAGAGATGTTCTCAAATGCTATCAGGGTGGCTCAAAACGTGTTGCTGCCTGGGGTGCCCCCCCCCCCATCCGAGCACAAAAACCAGTTGGACTGGCCATTGAAAGCCTTCTTCATTACTGGAGATAGGACAGCATCCTTGGCCACAGGTTTGTTCAGGGGGCTCAGGCCAGGCTGGGCCCTGCGATGCACTGTGCTCTCCTCCAGCACCTCTCTGACATCTCCCAGCATCAAGCGCCTGAAGTGGCTGGCGGCCTCACTCTGCTAGTGCTGAGTGCTGGTTGTACTTGCCTGATGTCCACTTTGCTGCCTTTCTCTCCTTATATTCATGTGTCTTTTTCAGTGGGGGAAATTTAGCCCTTTACAAACTGGTGGGCTTTTCTGCACAGTGACATTGCCAGGATTAATCTTCATTCTAACCCCTGCATGTTGTTCACGCAGACAATATGGGCCTTGCTCCCTTTCCCTTGCTCCTTGGGGAAGGAGAAGCACGCGGCGGGGGGTATTGGTGGGAGGGAAAACCCAATCTGGGCATCCCCCAGGATTGAAGCTTCCTTCCATGCTACACCACCCTCTTCTCAGAACAGAGAAGAGACTGGTTACCAAGCAACTGAGTAGGAGAGATTTTTTTAAACATAAAAATAAACCCAAAGACACGAAGCAGGCACAGATGGGAAGAGTAAAGAAAGAGAGCCAGGGGAGGAATCTTGCCTTAAACGCTGAACCAAACACTGTGCAGAAAAAGGAAACAGCAAATTCTTTTTTGAAGCTTGAAACAGAAACATGGCCCTCCAGTTCAAAATGGCACATATTTAGGGGCATCTGGCATGTCTGCAAGGGGTCTGGAAGCAGAGATGCAGCTATAGAGATAGATGTATGGCAGCCTGAAGCCATTGTGCTTTGCAGTCATCCTGAAGCTGAGATTTCCACCCACCTTATTTAGATTTATATCCCACTTTTTTCTTTTTTTTAAGAACTCAAAATGGCTTTGATCATTCTCTTCCTCCTTCTGTCAATCTTATCCTCACAAGAACAACCCTGTGAAGTAGGTTGGGCCAAGAGTCTGTGACTGGCCCAAAGTCACCCAGCTGACTCCTTGGCTGAGTGGGGACTCGAACTCAGATCGCTCGAGTCCCAGGCCTGCACTCTTAACCACTACAACACACTGGCTCTCACTCCTCTACTGTGCATACCCATCACAGCTTTGGCACATGATTTGCCTGCCCTTTCTCCTCTGCTGACTGAGGAAGTGGGCCCAAGTGAGCATGAGTTTCCCAGGGCAGCTGGTTCTCTGGCAAGACGGGCCTTTCCAGAAGCACCCCAGCTCTCTGTGCAGGGGCTGGTGGTGGCGGCAACTTCTAGTTGCTTGTGCGCTAGGGGAGGCAATGGAGCAAGGGGCAATTATGTGAGAACCGTGCCCAATGCAGTGGGTGAAGGAGGATACCAGCGAGACAAGAGAAATTGCCTCTGAAGTTCTGGGTCTCAGTCAGGCATATGGTCAGGCTGTCTCGGCCCGAAAGTCTCCCAGCTTTACAAGCGGCTTGCAGAAAGCAGCTAATCTGTTTATGAGTAACTATCTTTGCCCTGCAGAAAGTAACTTCCTTGGTGAAGTTGCTTCTGTGCTCTGAATGTCTTTTTCATCTGGCTGCACTACCGCAAAATATGAATATTGCTGCGTCTTGCTAGCTTTACTCTGGACTGATCACCAATCATACCTCTCTGTATGAGGAAGTTCACGTACAGACGGAGTAGTTGGTTTGCAGCATGGTGTGTGGGAAGACAGCAACTTCCACTTTTAAGCTACTTCTGTTACTAATACAGATTACTCAGGTCTTGCAGTGTAGAATAATTAAATATTTGCTTCTGCTGCAAACTTTGTGCAATGATGTGAGAGTAGGAGTTGGAAGTGTGGAACAAGCAAATGTATTTCAGCCTGTGCAGTTTATGACTTCTGCTATCCAAGCAGCTGCTGTTCCAGAGTTTCTTCTGAACAGCTTCCCCGCAAGCACCCAGTCACAGAGTACTTCCATTTTTACTACCATTACATTTGGCAATTTATTGATCATGATATTGCCATCTTTAAAGATCCCAAAATAATGCAGGGATATGGTGCCAGGGACAGCACATTCAAAAAGGCTGGCTCTAGCCACTAGACCAGCCTTCTCCAACCATCATCTCCAGTCATGGTGGCCACCAGACACAGTGGCTAGGAGTCACAGTGTTGACTGGTACATCCTGAGGGCACCAGGGTGGAAAAGCTGCAGCAGACCCTACACTTCCCTTATAACCCAAAATATATCCCAAGCATCCTGGAATTCTAGGAAGTGGGTGATGTGGAGGTATGTGGGCCAGGCAAAACAGGGAGTACCGAGAAAACGTGTGTCCCAAACCCACAGAGAAAGGGAAATAGCTCAGTGATAGAGTACATGCTTTGCACACATGAAGTGTCAGGTCCAATCTGTTACAGATCCGGGTATGACTGGGAAAGACCCCGTGTGAAGGCCCGGAGCACTGCTGCTGGCAAGCCAGTACTGAGCTGCAAGGGCAGCTTGGCATGATCACCATCCCAGACCTCTGCCTTTGCTCATTTCCTAAGAGTAGGTGCAGCTTGCTGTGAGTGAGCTGTAGTCAGAAACACGCCTCTTCTCCCACTCCAAGTTAGAAGTGCTCCCTTAAGATCGCTTATAGATCTGGGTTACCCCTGAGCTTAGTGTAGCTGCATTTGCTCATATCCATCCTTTTGTCTCTCCCTTGGACTGTTCACTCACCATCAATCAGTAGATTAAAAAAATATCTCTAATTCTAGTGACCCACCTTGAGGGATACTGCCTCTGGTGGAAACAAATCTTCAGTAACAAATAGATTTTATATTTTCAAAAGTGGGGGAATAGAGATGATGTGTTTGTTTTGTCCAGTAGTCCAGTGTGTGACCTCAGCCCTGACACATAGTATGGCTTCATCCATTTAGGACTGTGCCTCTTCCCCTACTCCATTTCAAGACTCTGGCCATGCAAGATACTTTGACTTCAGCATCAGGTCAGCCTTCCCTCCACTCCTTTTTGATAACATCTTCCCTGATTAAGAAATCTGGAGATCTCAGAAGCTTTCACACAATTTTGTACTGTTGTGGTTAGGTCTAATAAAAGGAATTCCCTGCTTTTTTTCCCTCAAAGAAAGGCAGCATAGAAAGAGAAATCCAGATGGCAAACTCTTTGGAACAGGGAAGCGCTTTTTCACACATGCTGTTAAGCACCGTGCCCACTGATAAAGGGGTTTCTCTCATTCCCCGTCATACTAATTGTACCTATAACCATCCTTGTATTCTCAGGGAATGCTGGAGGGCTCCCAGTGCCACAAATGCAAAGCTCTTGTGAAGCTCTTCTGCCTTTCCCTCATTATCAGGCAGAAGAAACTGTGGGAAAGCATCCGCCAAACTGAACGTTTGATGTTTGAGGCAAGGTGGCAGCACCGTAAAAGCCTTGTCTAGACCTGCCCTCCCTTTTAGGCACACACTTACCTAGAGTGGTGCTTTTTTTACTATTCCAGCATTCCTCAACCTGTTTCCCTCCAAATGTGCTGGACTATAATTCCCATAATTTCACTCAGCAGACAGTTCTACTAATTCTGTGCTTACATAGGTTTGGATCTTCAGGGCTTCTAATTCTGTTTCAGAAAATTATTTCTGTTCCAATCTTGTGACCTAGGATCTGGCTGCTTGGAAGCCTCTCAACAGGTGCTGATGATCTGCCAGGCCCAAGCTGGAAGGGTGAGCAGACTGGTGGAGGGGACCTTTCATTCCTGCCCTCCATCTTTGGCAATTGTCACTAGCAGGACTTTCCAGCCCATCTATTATTATTATTTATTTTTATTTTATTTAAAACAGTTCTATGCTGCCCCATCGCAATAAAGCCTCGGGGTGGCTCACAAAACATAACAAGGAAGAAGGAAGGAGGCTGGCTTGCTCCTCTACCTGCCCCCTGGAACATCATTCATCTTCACTGAGGTCTCTTTCCAGCCTTAGGAAGCAGCTGGAGTAGATCAGGAGGACCAGATCTCTGGCTCCTCTTTCTGAGATCCAAGCACTGACTCTGACCTCAGAGGGGATGTTCCCCCAGAGACCACAAGATTGCTTGGGCTACAGCTCCCTGCATGCTGCAGCCTGCTGAGCCTTGCGTGACTACAGTCAAGGCCACTGGGATCAGTTCATATTGATGTGTACGACGACCCTTCAGGGCCATCTTTTCTCAGCCACCCCCAAACAAGCCCACACTTCTTTTTCTGGTTTAAAGTCCTGCTTTATTGAGGTGACTGGGTGGCCCCACAGCAATAGCAGCCCACCTCTCTCAGCTCCAGCGCCATGTACATTCATCTGAAAAACAAGGAGATGGGGATGGAGGCCATTTCTGTAAAGGACAGCTCTTCCCGAACTGTCGTAAGAAAGAAACAGAAGAAAAAATCATAATTTTAACTAACAAACCTGTAGTTGCACATACAGGTACACAGGGCTATGTGCTGTCTGTACAAAAATTAGGTCAGGTTGTGTCCAGGCAATCCAAATTTCAAACAAAGCTCAATTCAACATAATTGTTCATATCTTGCATAACATTTTGCAACTTTTGACTGTCGTGCATATAGGGATTCACAGCTCTTTGAGGTTATTTCCGCAAGCATAGTGAAAAGGGTTATAAAGAAAAGAAAAGAAAAGAAAAGAAAAGAAAAGAAAAGAAAAGAAAAGGAAGCAGGGTTGTCTGAAAGTTGAATTCTGCAGACACCCCCACCTGCACTCCTGTGAAACTGCAGTGTAGAAGCAGCCCAGAAGACTGGCAGTTTAGTAGTGAAACTTTAAGCCTTCAAGGGATGTTATCAGAACACCTGGGACATATTTTGTGTTTTCTGACCACACTTGCATACAGGCAGTGGTGAAGTTTCAGTGCAATCCTCTGTTTGGAAGTAAGTGTCATTAAACTCAATGGGACTTACTCCCAGTTAAGTGTGTACATGATTGCAGCCTTAATTAAAAAAAAAAGGAAGTAGTGCCCAGGATCAAGTTTGCTTACAGATGATATCCTTTAACTCAGAAGGATTGCAGGGGAGTATGTGTGTATGCGTGGGTGTGGACAGCCTGTCCTGGTGGAGAGGGAAATACTTTATACAGTACATCTATTTATTATTTCTCCTGATTTCTTCTGCACATGTTCAGAGGTGTGGTCATCTTTGTTACTTCTTGTGTCCTTGGACTGGATCCTGGCACTGAAAGCAAGTTCCAGCCATAAAGATTAGGCCTAAATCTGGGCACAAAGTAAGCCGTGTATGCAGACACTGCCAAGTCCATGCATACACAGGTGAAGCTGCTCACATGCAGGCATTAAGGCGCGCACACACACACACACACAGTCAAAATTTGTACAGGCATGGATGGAGAGCTGCTCTACCTTCTTCACCTCTGTGCAGCAGCCAATGACCCTCCCTCCTGCTACCTTTTTGGTCTCCCAACTGATCCTTGATATGAACCTACTTCAAAGTTCTTAACCACCTTCCCCCCCACCCCATATTTTCCTTCTGCTTTACCCAAATTTCTGGGTGAATGACTGGATGGACTGCTTTTGGGACTGGGTGGGCATTCAATACTGTAGAGAAGATGGGTGAGGTATGGTAATCATACAAGCTTCTGAACTGCATGTTCCTGACCTGGCACACAGTATTCGAGGTTTCTCAGATGCCCCACATGCAGAGGTGTGGGGTCCCATGCCTAAGAAAAAAAGGGGCAGCTTCTCCATCCTTCTTCTACAGTTTCTGGTCCCACCAGATGCGGTACGGAGGTCTCCTCCTTCAAGCAGTTCTAGAGTGTCAGGCTCTAGGAATCTGCTGCACCGTCGCTTCAAGCCTATGTTTCAACCTGGCCTTTAACACCATGGACATGGGAAAGTTGCAGGGTTCTGACCTTCGTGCATTGCAGAACTTTGAGCTGAAGGATCTGATTCTAGAGCCAGAAGTCTTATGTAGGCAAAATCCTCACAGGACAGCTGTAGTTTTCCAACTCATTTTCTAAAATTATGGCTGCAGATGAGCGAGGGAGGAAACACTTTCTGTAGAAGACGGGCACCGGCAGCAACTGGCAGGTTCTAGCCTGACGCAGCCCATTTCAAATCTTTATATTTAAACATGGTGATCTGGAACATGTTTGACATGCAGTATGCCCAGAGTCACCTTGCCAGAAAGAGCAGGCTCTGCAAAAGTGGGTGGGATCTCCATTTTTTTAGGGCTCTTGGGCAAAGGGCATCTTTGGTTATTGGAATGGCCCTGTCAACTTAGCTGCAAGATGGGTTGCATGCACCGCATCACTGTCAACGCACCAAAGAATGCAAAAAGGCAACAAGAACCTTCTTGGGAAGTGGCAGTTGGTTCTGAAGGAGAGACTCTCCTCTCTGGTGTGAGGTATTCTGCTGGTCCCAAAGGACTCTGCCACCAGGGCAGGCAGGGAGAGAGCCGAGGAGGAGGAGGAGGAGAACACAAGGGGGGCAGCACCCTTTGGCCCCTGTACTACGTGGGGTCCAACTCAAAGACACTGTCGTCGGTTGGCGAGGTGAAGAAGCAGCTCTGGCCCCCAGCAGGCCGCCGGCTGCCCTGGCTAAGCCCCAGTGACTTTTCAAAGTCCAGGAGCTGCCCCATGAAGTTGAAGTTGGGTGAGATGTTGGACTTCTTCCGCTTCACGAGGTCATAGGCGTCGTTGAGGGACAGGTTGAGCTTCTGCATGAGGTAGGCAACGGTGACTGTGACCGAGCGGCTGATCCCCGCCAAGCAGTGCACCAGGATCCCACAGTTCCGAGACAGGGCCTCATCTGCAGAGTTGTTAGGAAAGGGAAGCAGGCAAATTATATTTGTTCCCCTGCAAACCGATTGGGATGTGGGGAAAACAAGGGGGCAAAGGAGGGCAGAGAACAGTTGTTATTAAAAATGATGGCGAATGGAAGTGGGGGACAGGCATGGGGTGGGTGGGAGGGGCAGGCGAAGGGCAGGGCTGTGTAGCCTGAGCTTCACAAGTGCAGGACTGACCTGCTGAGAATCAGAGGCATCACTTCTTTAAAAAAGAAGCAAGTTTCTAGTCTTTACCACTTGAATGCGTAATTATTTATTTTTATTCCATGTGTATCCCATCTTTTTTCTCTTGCAAGGAGCCCAAGGCTATGTACGAGGTCCTCCTCACCACTGGAACCCCACAACAACCCTGTGAGGTGGGTTAGCTGAGAGTCAGTGATTGGCTCGAACTTCGTGGCTGGAAGGGAACTAGAACTTGGATCTTCTCAGTCCCAGCTGAACATCCCAGCCCCTACTGCACACTGAGTAAGATTTCTAGTAATAAGAGATGGCACTAAGTTGTCCCACTTCAGTGTTGAATTGCACAAAATAAGGCAAAAACGCACAGATGCTTCATTATGCCATTTACTTATTTTTCCATTTATATCCCATCCCCTAGCCAAAAAGGCTGTCTGGGCACTTTGATTTGTCCAACTCATTCAGCTTTTCTTTGTGCAGAGTCTGGGCTATTTAAGATTGATTTTTAGCAAACCCAGTCCTGTGACTACCAGATAATGGCCCTTTATAGACCCATAATACTGCTGGGTAGAAACTAGATGGGTATGAGCTTGATAAAAGGGGAAGGAAGAGGTCACCTTTTTATCAGGTTGACCCCAAAACACCTTTTTATCAGCCCCCCAAAACAGCCAAGCCGCTGTATCTACTCTAGCTCCAGCTTCCGGAATAACCTTAAGGACAGCCCTGCATACGGTGCATTCCAGTAATCCTGTCGTAGGTTTACAAGGGCTTGTATCACTGTGGCCAAGCTATTCCTGTCCTGGGCCTGGCAAAGAGGACAAAAGGCACTAAAAGGTGCAGCCACAGGTGCTGGCAGCATTCCAGGGACAGTGATGGATCTGGGAGTAGCCCCAGAATGCAAACCTGATCTTTCAAAGGCCGTGCAAGCTCATCCAGAACAGGCAGCCTCACCTGATTCGCCTGTCACAGGGAAGCAGGACGGTGGGTCATTGGCAGGTAATGGCAGCTGGCTCCCAGTCCCTAAAGACCACTCCCAGCAGCTTCATATCCATGTTAAACAACACTGGGACACACAATGGGACAATCACTCCATGGAACCCCACAGCTCGGCTGCTAAAGGGCCGAAGAACAGGCACCAAATGTTATTCTCTGGGATCAGCCGTGCAGGTAAGACCAGTGCCTCTGCTGCTAAGCCTACACAATCAAGCCAGGAGAATATCATGGTCAACAGGATCAAAAAACCAGTGAGAGATGGAGCAGAATTCACAGGTTTACCCTCTGCATGTCCGTATCCAAATAAAGGATGCCACCAGGTTGACCAAGGCTGATTTGGTCCCAGAGCCAGATCAGAACCCAGACTAGGAATGGGTTAATGGGGACAAGAATTGGCCTTGTGAGTTGGGTCCAGGTTCCAGCGAAATCAACTGGGCTTCCCTGGCTCCTCTTCCTCTCCCCTGAAAATGAAGTGCAGAGGACCCTGCTGTATGGGGTGAACTCTGGTGTGTGTGCAGCACCCCCACACATGGGGTGCAGCACCCTGATGCAAGCTTTTTGCAGAAGACAGACCCTGCGTAGGCTGCGTATCTGCATCCACGTGGCACCTTTCAATAAGCAATCTGCAAGTGTGGCTTGTGCGTGAGGGAGGGAGCACCTCTTCCGAGGTATCACTTACTAGCCATGGTTTTCGTAAGATGGGTTGGAATTGCTTGATCTTCTCAAGCAGAAATCTGTCTGACTAATCAGAGGCAGATTTTTTAGTCGAGGAAAAGATTTTTACACTGAGTCATCTAGCTAACTCATGAACTAAACATTGCAGCACTCGTTGAGACCAAGGTATCAGTGCCTGCATGGCACTCACGATTACAACACCGCATTATCCACCTGCAAATGCCGCAACCACATGCCCACCTGCAGGCCCAGTCCTACTGAATAGAAAAAGAAAGCGGCGAAAAGGCCTATATCTCAACTGGAGAGCCAGGTAAAGAATGAGGGGCTGGAACTGGGGAGATCCAGGTTCCAGTCCCCACAGCCACGTTGCTTACTGGGTGACATGCAGCCAGTCACTCACTCTTAGCCTAATCTACCTCACAAGATTGTTGTGTGATCAAAAGGGAGTGAAGGAGAACTAAGAAAGCTGCCCTGGGTTCCTTGCAAGAAGAAAAAAGGCAGGATATAAATGTGATGTAATAATAATGAGGGAAAATGCAGCCTTTTAAAACCATGCATTTTTCACAGTTGTGAGGGGAGAGGGAGGGGAAGACAAGAAAACGAAAGACATGGGTGCTTGGGAAAAAAAACAAAGCAAAACCATCTTCAAGGAAATTTTTGCAGATGCAAAGAACTGGCCAATCCAGGTATGAATACTGGAGGAACAGTAGCAAGGCACTCTTTGCATCCTTGTAATCCCCAGGGTACCGACTGCAGAAAGTGTGCCGATCCCCCAGACAGAGGGAAGGATCCAGTGGTGCCCACATACTTGTGCAATGACTTTCCCAGGAAAGTGCAAATGAGGTTGCATGAGCGCCAGTTTGAGCTAGCACAATGTCGCAAGTGCCGGCGCATTAGCATTGCTGGAAGAGCCTTCTGGTTGTAGAAAACCCCATCATTTAACAACATTGTGTATTTTCCATGGGTTTTCTCTCTTGGGGATGGGCTGTAGAAAGACAGACTAGGAAAGCAAGACACAAGAGTGCATTTGGGGAACCAAGAGGGCTGCATTTCGCCCAAGGGCTGCCAGTTGCTGGTCAATGAGCTCAGGCAATCCGAGAACAACTTTAGTGTGTGCTTTCAAAAATAAATAGATTATACAGGAGCCATTGTCAGTTGAATGCAGCACGAGGCTCCTGTGAACCAGAGGACCAGCTGAAGGCTTCCTCCGAAAACTTCTACAGCTTATGACAGCCCTGGAAAAAAAATGCCACATATGTTGCCAGGATGAGGGCATGGTCGTCTGTTTCCCCACCACTCACCAATGAACTCGATGGCTTCAGGGAAGAACTGGGAGAGATTCTGACTCCAGTGGTCTGAGATGGGGATCTGCTTGTAATGGAAGTCGCCGTTCTTTTCAAAGAGGTTCGGCAGGTTGGGTGTGACGTTGAGAATGTAGTGGATGCCCAGCTTGGCCAGAGTGTCCATGTTAGCCGAGTCACGGGCGCTGCCCAGGAAGAGGTTGGGCAGGATCTGTACAGGGAAGGAGGGGGGGCTGGCCCCCTCCGACTCCATGCCGCTGCTCAGGGGCTCTGACTCGGCATCGGAACAGTCCGAGCTGAGGCTCAGGCCGCCCAGGCCCACCACAGGAGTTGCCGGAGGCCCAGGTGAGCTACTGGCACTAGCCACGTCCCGGTTGGTCTCACAAAGGTGTGGCCATTCGGCCTGGAATTTGTGGAAACCTCCTGAGGGAAGGACAAAACCGAGAGAGAACCAGCCATTGTTACATGCGTGATTACGATGCTAACATCAAGGGGTCCCAAATTTTATCACCAGGTAAATTTTAGCCCGAATTTTTACCACTCCTCTACAAGTCAGGAATTGTACACCAATATATCCACATCAATATCCTACTTCCAGTAAAGTCAAATTCTGTATGAATCTTTCCAATGAAAGATTGCTTTGTGCTTAATTGCTTAATTTCTTTTTATTCTAGACAATTTTTCTGACTTTGCACAATTTATTCTGGATTTGACCATCACAGGGAAGAGGAAGAACTTACACAAGTGCCGTCCTGGTGCACAGAAAGCTTTGTCTGGCGATTCTTCTTGTTTTGGCAGGCACTGCCTGCATTTTCACAAATAACTTTATAACCACAAGGGCTAGAAACCTATTTCTAAAAAAAATAAAAGAAAGCAAGCTAATATTCTTGGGATGCTGAATGCAGCACACAACCTGCACATAGGTTTTCCTTCAGATCCACAAGGTGCCATCTCCATCCCATCTCTCCAAGCTTCTCCTGGCATATGGATCCTTAGATCAGCTCCAGGTTTTTGGGGCCCCTTAAGCAAGACACTGTTAATGGCTTAGTGAGGCTACCTTTTCACTGCCATTGTCACCAGCTGCAGTTCTGCCTCTTTTTCTACATCATCATCATGACCTGCTCTTGTGCCAAGCTGAGAGCCATTGAGAGAATGGGTTGATAGCAGCATCTCCATCCTTGTGAGTGCCCAACCATGCTGAACCTGGATGCCCATCCTACCTTCATTTTCAGAGTCTGAGTTTCAGGGGAGCTGGCAACCCTCCAGCAACCTCCTGGCCTCAGTGAGAGAAGGACTAAGACTGTGGGATGGGAGCTCTCACCAGGCTGCTGGTTTTTCCATCAAGAGCAAGCCTTTCTTCTTGACAAAGACTTGACAACAGGTAGAATTTGCCTGTTGTTGCATCTCTGTGGTAGGAAGACCACCTATATTGGATTTCTGTCGCAACAGGCCACAGAAATGACTGGCATGTCAGAACTCATACAGAATGGCTTGTAAAGAATCAAAATAGCCACATGGAACTTGCAAAGCTCTGAGCTAAGGGGAGACGATCCCTCCACCGGAAATCCTTTGTCTGCTTTCAATATTAGAAGTGTTTGGAAAGAATAAGTGGGCTGGTCCACCCCCACTCTCACCCTTCACTCCACCAAGTCCACCTCCAGGTTGTCACACAGCTTTGACAGCTCCCACAGTTCAGGGATTTTCAACATGTTACTAGTCCTCAGTGTTCTGGACTCAAGGCGTAAGGGGAAATGCAAGCACCTTGATCAGACTTCCCCAGCCTGATGCCCTTCCAAGGGGTTGGCCTGCAACTTTTCATTTCCAGCCTGTTGGCTGTAGTCCCCTCATCCAGCTGCTGTCAAAGGCACAGGAGCCCTGTCTTTTGGCATCTGACCACCCCACCTATGCTCAGCTCATTCATGGCAGTCTCCTGCAGCTGTGGGACTACTTGTTGCTTTGCAGGAATGTTGTGCCAAGGGCACAGAGAACTGTACACTGCAAGCGCTTTGGTCCTGAATAGCCAGATTCCAATCCTGCAGCAAGCAGGTCAATCAACAAGACAGAGGGGCCTTCCCCAGCCAGGTATGTGTACCCTGGCCTACAACCCCCAGGATCCCCAGCCAGCATGGGCCAATGGTCATGCTCGCAGGGAATTCTTGGAGTTCTACTCCAACACCTCTGGAGGGCACCTGTTGGGAAAGGGTTGCTTTAGAGTAAGCCTGCAATGGCTGTCAGCATGAATCTCCTGGGTAGCAGCAAAGTTTGCCTGCCTCTGTGTAAGGCACCATGCTGGGGGAGAAGAATCGGGGCCTCGTATGAACCTGAGGCCTCCCGGGACTCAGCATTGTAGCTGGGAAGGCAGGGGAGGGAGCATCCCTCAGTCCAGAGAGGCAGCAGTGAAAGCGTGGCTGCCTCACTTCCTGATTCTGCATGTTTTCAAAGGTAAAGAGGACACCTTGGGGTTGCAAACAGGCAACTGCATTCCCAGTTCTGGGGCCCGCCTTCTTCCTGCTCAGGAAATGACACAGGAAGGGCCCAGCCGTAGGTAAGGCCTGGGGCCTCTTTTTCTGCCACAAAACTTGCTCCCCCCTGCACACCTACCCTGCAGGTAGTAGGCCGGACAGCCTTCTTCCCGTAGCTTCTGCAGCAATGTCAGCAACACCGACTCTTCATCCACTTCCCGATTTCCTCGCCAGGGCAGCTGGAGTGTCCCCTCGTCGTACAGCAACACAATGTTATCCCTGAGGCCCTGTGGGGGCCCAGGCAGTAAGGAGCGGACGGAGAGATTCCCCTTGCGGAGTCGCCGTAGCAGCAGTCCCGGGAGGGCCACACTCAGAGCCCGCTCCACATGGGATGAATCATACAGCTCCCGGCTTCGGCAGTCAAGAATATGCAGGCACGGAGAAGGAGAGGCCAGCTCGGCCTGCAGCCATGACGTGGACTTGCCCAGGTCTTCCATGTGGCTACGAGCCACGTTCCAACTGACCAGGATCCTCGCAGTCAGAAGCCTCACACAACCACTGCCAAAAGTCAGAGCAGCGTCTGAATTCCCCCAGTCATGGCAGGGCAACAGGCAGAGCTTCTGTTTAGCCTGAAGTGCCTGATTCTGCCTAATCCTGGAAGCTAAGCAGGGTCAGGCCTGGTTAGAATCTGGATGGAATTCCTGAGTCCTGCACAGAGCAGGGGGTTGGACCTGATGGCCTTCTAGGCCTCTTCCAACTGCATGATTCTATGATTCATCCAAATACCAGAAGAGACACCTGTCCCTTCGTGTGTCTTTGCCTTCCCAGTACCTGCAAAGAGAGACTGCACCAAAAACTTTCCCAGAGTTCAGGAGGTGGTTCCAAATCCGGCCTCAAAGTTCCTTGCTACCTTTGCATTGGCTAGATTTCTACATCACGCTGCTGATGCACATGGACTCACCCCATCCATTGCATCAACAGAGCTTTGGCTGGAAAGTAAAGTGGCGAGTGCCATGGGGAGATCATCCTTCTTTCTCCTTGCTGGGAAAAGAACAGTTTGCAGCCTCCCTAAACCAGAGGCGGGGGAATCAGCAGCTGGATCCTGGGGCTGTCTCGCAGGGCTGGGCTGGGACAATGGTCTGGAGGCAACAGCACGCTGCGGAGCACCCTCCTGAAATGGGCTGCCCTGTGGAAAACTGCTGTGCTCTGCTCTGGATCCTGGCCCACCTCGTGCTCAATGACCCTTCCTGGGGTGGCTGAGCCAGGCTGACCCGAGGAACTGCTTGCCACTGCCAAGGCAGCCGGAAGATGTTTCCTCCATGTAAATCCAGCCAGTTTTGCTCCCGGGAACAAACCTCAGAGTCCTGGACAGGGCTTCATAGGCCAAAGAGGGCCACATGTAGCCCACACCGAAGAAGCCCTTCCTCTGGTCTTCTGAGTGCAGTCTATCCAATGCCGCTGGAGAGGATGTGCTGGAGCAGCGGCCAGGGAGGAGCAGGTCCCTGGGAAGCAGGCATCCAGATCAGCCTGGTGTGGTGGCAAGTGGAAAAGGACGTGGCTGGTCACTGAGGGAGGCTGAGGCAGACAGGAGCTTGCACCAGGTGCCAGAACGCCGTCTCACGGTCCCAGAGAACAGGGAGCTGCTAGCGTCGCTCTGTGCTCTGTCACTGAGTGAACCTGCGGCAGGAAAGCAAGCGAGGAGAGTCAGGCTGGAGAAAAAGAGAGCGCAAGAGAAGGCAGCCGGGTAAGGGAAACATAGGAAGTGCGTGTTCCCTTCCTGGCACCTTGCTGTCCCCCCTCCATCCTGGCCAGATGCTGACGAGAGACTTCCTGGCAGTTGGAGGGAAGACAGCAGCTATTGCCAGGAGCTGGATGACCACATGGCCACACACATACTGCAGGCACTCAGGATGTTCATTTCTAGGGAAAGTGGGAAAGGGGAACAGAGCTGCTGAACAGTCACCCCCCCCCAAAGCTCTCTGTGCCTAATCCAAGATGCATGTGGGCTGTCTGAGGTTCCTCAGTGGGGTGGAGGAAGGGAAGGCATCCTTGAACTCATGCAGCAGCTCCTTCCGCTGAGAGCCCAGCCGCAGCGGCGTGCTTCAGCTTTGCATGCAGAGGGCACCAGGCCTGACCCCCAGCACCTGCAGGTTCGACCAAGGGAGACGGCTCAGTCTAAAACTCAGCGCAACCACTGCAAAGCCTTATGCGAAATTGTAAGTCTGTCCCTGCATTCCTGTGCCTCAAGTTTCCAGGGCTGAGTCCAGAGATTAAAGTTTGGGAGTCCAGTTTTGGCAGAAGTCAAATTAGGATATCTGTGTGGCCCCTTTAGAGTACAGTCCACTAATTTCAAGACATCCTTTATGAGAAGGGCCATCCAGTGAAAGTCCAGGGAAGAACAACCAGTTGCCCACCAACACTTAGCACGTGGCCAGCAGATTGGGCTTGCACCCGTTTCACCAACCCAGTGTCTTCCCCACTCTGGTGAGATAGACTGTACCTCTGCTTAACTCTAAATCCAAATCTGTGCAGATAAATAACCACACATAATTCTCTTCAGGTTGACATCCTGTTTTGGCTTCTTCTGGGGACAATGCATTTCCTTTTTTTGGAAGGAAAGCAGCGTATCATCCCTAGTTACATGCTGCTAACAGCACCACCACCCCGCATTTTGAATACTGGCAAGGTCAGCTCGTGACACTCTTATGCCTGTGGTGGAAAATTCAAGTGCCACCTACCAACATGGGTACACGTCCACCTGTTGGCTGCACAGGCAGGTATGAGGCCCTGAGCAATCATATTGTCCCCTTCTGAGGACTACATGCCCATACCTAGATTCCCCTCACTCACTTTGGGGAGCCGTCTACCCACCCTCTTTCCATGATGGATGGAGAGGTGGTCCGGCCTATACCTGAAGACCCTAGTTCACCTGCCAGGTTTTACACATCAAGAGGCACAGCATGGTACACCCAAGTTGGCTTCTCCGTTGCACCGCACATGAAGTGCGAGGGCTTTGTATGAAGGACTATTTCCTATGTCATCTTTTGTACTTGGCCACATATCTCTAAGTACAAGTTGCATACACAGAATGTCAAGTTTTGAAAGACACGAGCAAAGACAACTTGGGGGCCTGCCAAAAACCCACATGGCTTGATGTTAGAAAAGGACTGAGCCCCAACTCACCTGTATTTCAAAAGAAAAGAGTGGCTACTTTTATACACATAATGTACCTTTTAAAACAACTGTGTTATACTACATTTGGTACCAAGACCTCTGCGTCTAGTTACAAAATGTGAATGGAAGTGACACACATCATTGACTTCTTGTGAATGAATTAATTTGGAATAATCATCACCCTTGGCTCCATAATTCTGTCATAGTTTAGGGTTGCAAACAAACCCAACAAATCTTATGCCTTTAAAAGATGACTGATGTGCAGGCATCAGCCAATGAAAGCTTTCGAAGGCATAGAAACAACACCTATTAACATCTTCCTTGCTGAAGACACAAGAGAAAAAGCCAACTGAGAAGCAATTGAAAATCACAATTTCTCAACTCAGTGGCATTGAAACCATTAGAAACACAAACACCTATTTCACCATCTTTATATGGTGAACACAAACTGAGAAATTCATCAGTGTTTGATGTGGTCGCTGATGAACTACTGCATTTCCTCCAAGAGGTTTACCTTCAAGTTTGGATGCTTAATTTTACAGCCTGAGAGAGACAGTATGATTTTGGGTAGAGTGGATTGTCTTTCATGCATGTACTTCGTTTGTACCCCATCTTTCTAACAGGAAAAAAAATGGCCCTCAAGGCAACCTCAAGGCCCTCAAGGAGTTCGGTTATACTTTATCATTTATGTTGGGGGAGGGGACGTTTAACCCTTCAGTTAACTAGACTATTGATTGGCCTCAACCAGTTCTCCACCCCAGAACATTCAAAACTTTTACTTTGCAAAATGCTTTAGCTTTTGTCTTTATAACAGTTCTGAAAAGTAGGTCAATGCGATCCTGATGATGGCCACACAACACAGCTTGAGGTAAGTCAAGGGCAGAGGTGAATCGGGTTCAGGCCCCCAGTGCTGATCCTACTAGGGACCTCTGGGGCAGTGGATCTGGGGAGCCATTGGGGCGATGCAGCAGATGGCAGAAAAGCTCTCTGGTGGAAGGCCCACTGAAAGCATGACTCTCTTCAGCTTTCACTGAGGTGTGGGCAAGGAACTTTTCCCGGATGTTGTGGCCCACATCCATTATGAGGGCATGTGGATGGGACAATGGTATCCAGACCCGCAGGCCTGCCTCATCTGACCCTTACATGCATTGCTCCTGCTACTAGATTCCCTTGAGAATTTATAAAGGAATCCAAAATAAAACAACACACTCAAGAATCCTGGCATTCTTGGGAAAACGCACTTTCTGGCTCCCTGGTGCCCAGGGAATGCAGTGGCTCTCCCTCTTTCCCACTACAGCCACAACCAGTCACCTCTCTGCCTTGTGGAGTAACTAAGCTTGAGCAAAAGTTTCGCTCTTGCCTTTGTGCCCAGCTTCCTAATTGCTGGCCTCAGACATGCTCCTCCCGCTCCTTCCCTTTAGTCCCTCCCCCATCTGTCCTATGAGGGACAATCATATGAACCTGTCTTACAGGGTCGTCCTAGAGATTACAAGTGCTTTGAATGTTCAACATAGCTATGCAAATACAATTTATTCGTATTGATCTGTAAAGTGGGAGTTGCATGGCATCGCCCCCCCCCAACATATTATGCCACTTGCTCTAGAGTAACTCTCAATCACTAATACGTGCAGGAAGATTAACTATGCTTTCAGTGGAGGCACTCCGCACATGCTCAGAATTAGTATTTCCCTCGCAGTGGGATCCCATGCAAGATTGCGCGGTGGCTGGGGTGAGAGCAAAGACACTCTACGCGTGTTCCGAAGTCCTGTTTTCCTTGCAATACTCTTCACACGCAATGTTACTCGGAAGCGAGCCCCGCTGAGTTCAGTCATGGGATTACAACTTCAGAGTTACTCCAGAGTTACTCCAGCCTAAGCCCTGGCTAAGCCCCGGCCACGTGAAAGCTTGGCGGCTCCATTCTGCAAAACCTGAACCGTGTAGCGCTTCCTCTCTTACCCTGCGGTTTTTCGAGCCGTGCTTTTCGGATGCCTTGCGATGCTTCTCCGTCATGCTGGTGGCGGCGGCCCAAAAGGACAGCGGACTTGAAAACATGCACGCACAACCCCAAAAGCAAAGACTCCTTCGAGGCCGGGTCTTCAGCCCCCGCAGCAAGCTCGGGATTTCGGAGAGAGGTAGGCGAGGATATTCCCTGCAAGATGTTCCCCGGGCCAAAACAACAAAAAAACCCCTCTGCAGCTCCAGCGGAGTTTGATGGTATTTTTGGGGTGCTTCTTTGCCCCAGCCTTCTTCCTCGGCTTCAAATTATTTCCCCGATTCACTTTCTTGGCTTTTGTCGCCCGGAGAGAGGAGAGCCCCTGTTGCTGCTACTGCAGCAAGAGCGACAAAGTGATCGGTCGCCTCCATCTGCAGAGAGAAAGAGGATGCAGATCGCCTACAGCCAGCCGGCAGCCTTACTTTATACTGCTGGGGTGGGGGAGAATCGTTGGAGGTACTTTCCAAGATCCCGGAGAAACGCAGTGATGGTGGGGAGGACAACAGATAAGAAGGAGGCGCAGCGGGCTTGCTGGGTCCCTCCTCCCGTCCACCCACTCCTTGCTTAAAGAGCATGAAGCGAGCGTTCCCAGCGCCGCCGCCGCCGCCGCCGACTCTGCCTGCTTGGCGGATGCCAGTCTCCACCCCGGCTCCACGTGGTGGCTGTGTACAGCCCGGGAGCCCCGCCCCGGGGCGTCCTCATTGGTCAGCGGGGCCTGAGCGAGGGGGCGGAGCATGCCAGGCCGGGAGGGGCTGGCCCGCTTCTTCCGTGGGTCGGGGGCGCGGAGATTTCCGAAGGAACTGGGGCGGGGGAGGTGCGCCTGGCTGCCTTTTCCTGGGGGCGCTCGCCTTGTGGGGCTCCGAACCGCGGCCTGGCCTCCCTGAGAGAGGCTTTGATTCACCTCTCTCAGGGAAAGGGCAGCCCTTCCAACGTCAGATGGATTCCTCCAAATTATCTCCCACCTGCCGTGCTCGCTGCGCTGATGGGAATCGGCGGTGAGATGTTGCACCTTCCAGGTGTGCCGGACTACAACTCCAGTAGTCCCCCAGCCAGCAGGGCCAAATGGCTATGGATGATGGGAGTTGTAGTCAAAAACATCTGGAGAATGCCAGATTGAAGTGAGTTGCTCTAATGTGTAGATCAACCTTTCCTGACTGGGTGTTCTGCAGATTCCTCGGACATCCTAGTATCCCCAGCTGGGGACAATGGGATTTGCCATCCAGCACATCTGTAGAATGGCAGATAGATGAAGGCTCATGCAGAGTGTGTGGCATTCCTTTAAACACTTTTTAATGCTTTCCTCCCTCCTGAATTGTGTTCTTGTTTTGTTTTTTAAATTAGGGTTAGTTGAATCCTGCTTCTTCAGATGGTGAAAACTCCAGGGATGCAACACTACTCAGCTTCAAACACCTGTGGAAAGATACCATAGGGAGATTAAAGTGTTTCATAATATTGTAAATCGTTTACACATACACAGGTTGAACAGAGGTGGAAGTGTCATCTGCTCACCCTCCAAAGTTCCCTGCTCCCCATCAGTTTTCTCAGGGGAACAAGCAGCCAGCATTTTCAGTTCCTTGTGGAAAGAAAAGCAACCATTTCTGGCTCTTTTTCTTATCTTGTCTATGCAAACAATTTCTGTTTCCTTTCATTCCTTAGTGTGCAGGGAGGCAGCCCATTCAGATATTCCCAGGCCATCTCCAGCATGTACAAGAGAATCTGCCAGGCTAAACTTACCCAGCCAGTCTGGCCATTTATTAACCTAATACCTCCATTTCAGAAACACAAGAGTCAGAGCCCTTCATCCAGCCGAACAGAGCCAAACAGAGCCCTTCATCCAGTAACAATTTTTATATATCACCCAGACATAATTGATTGCAGGGTGGTGTGCAGCAATACAAAAGAACAAGCACAAAATTATGATGCAATAAACTTAAATAAACCAGCAATAAAAAGAAGTATATTTCAAGAATGATATCATGCATCCAATTTTTTCAGCTGTCAGGCCCCAAATTCATCGCTTGAGATGTTGGCTTCTGTCCCCTGGGAGAAGATCATTTAGGTGGCAATCTGTGCAGACTTACCTGGGAGTGAGTCCTGTTGCCCTTGGAAGGGCTGAGCAGACACGTACAGACATGCATGGCAAATGTGGATTAGGACACAGAGATAGAAATGGAAACAAGTGATGCATGGCCTACACTTCTTGCAATCACTACGGCCGTGATTCTGTATGGACACAAGAAGGCATTCCTTTGGCCTGTGAAAAACTGACACAGTTTATGGTGGTGGTGTAAGAAGCCAGTTTGGTTTAGAACAGTCACCAGTTAAGGACATTAGGCTTTCTTTTTCTGTTCTAAGGATGCAGGCCTCTTCTTAAAGAGGGAGAGAACAAAGTGGTAGTAAATTGCATTCGATAAAACCTGAATCTAGGTTGGGATGAGCAGAAAGTAAATTCCTACATATTTTGAACTTCAACTCCCAGCATTCCTCACCTTTGGCTATATTGGCAGATATTTCTGGGAGTTGCAGTTCAATGTAGCTGTACATCTATCTTCAGCCCACTCATGTTCTAGGATATTCATTGTTGGAGGGGGGTCACTGCAAATAGATCTCTGCACCTCCCATGTACTACTAGATTTCTAGTACCTCCCATGATGGCAAAACCAGTACATAAGCAGAAGATCGGGGTAGGTGGGCACTAGAAGACACGGGAAAGTGTGGTGCATGCCACAAGAAAGTCAGAGGTACCTAGGACTGAAACCAGAGTCTCCTGCACTTCCCTAGGGAAAAGCCCCAGGTGAAGCAATATTCTCCTACTACTCTCTCTCAAGGCTCAGCATAGCTCTCCATCTTCCCACCTAGCAATCTAATGGTTCTGTCCCAAGTTATCTTGGCTATAAATGTGTCTACATCTTTATTGGAGCAACAGCCAGGTGCTGGCCTGGCCTGTGGTCTGGCCAGATCTCGTTTTCACTGCCTGCTTGCCTGCCGCCTCCCTCCCTCCCTCCTCATGAGCATGAATTCCACTTCCCTGAATCTTTATCCCAGTCTCTCTGATCCAGGCTCCATGACAAGACTCTGGCCTACAATCAGCTCTGTCCCTGGAGTGACCTCTTATGGATCTGCTGCGTTTCTCCCCTCCAGCTTTGGTCCCATCTGCAGGGCTAGGGCTTACTTGTATCTTTCAGTCCTTAAGCTCTTTGCAACCCTGCCTTGACCAGGGGGAAGCAGGAAACCCTTGCCCATGGAGTAGTTGTGAAATGAACGCAAAAGTTAGCTTATTTTAAAGAGTTGCCAGAAATGCTTTCAATGCTCTTGTACAGAAGGGCAACTTGTGGCTCTCTGAAGGTTTGGCATACAGCTCTCATGATCCTTCACCACTGACTACGCTGGCTAGGGCTGGTGATGGCCAGGTGTAAATCAAAATATCTAGAAGGCCACAAGTTGTCTACTTCTGGAGAGGTCAGGCCAACTGGTGTGATTTGTAATCTTCTTTCTTGATTTTCCTAATGTTCCTACCATGCATAAGAGATATCATGAATTTCAGTCACAAGAACACAATCACCTACTTTAGCCTTCCGCAAGCTGGTACCCCTCCAGTGGTGTTAGATTATAACTTTCAGCATCCCGAGCTAACATGCCAAATGGTAGCATTGTTTGGAGACGATGGGACTTGTAGTCCAACACCTTTGGAGGGCACCAGGTTGGGTGAGGCCGGCCTATCTAAACACCCACCTGGGTAGGAGAGCTATAAGTGATTTACAGCAAGTAGGAATCCAGGCAAAGTAATTTTCCAAGAATAGTTTTATGAAAACACACATACACATTCTCCTCCTCCAGTTCTAATCTCCTTGGCAACATATCCATTTTCATCTTGAAAACATGGGGGGGGCTTTAAATTAAAAATGGCTTTTCCAGTTTCTGTGTTACGAGTGGGTGATTTTCTCTATTAATAATTTTCAAGGTAATGGTAAGATTTTGCTGTTTCTGGAGTAGCAAGGGAGTCAGTGGGCACGACTCAAGCTTTCCTATGGTTTTGGTAGCCAGCAGCCAGAAGCAAAGGACAGAGACAATCGATGGCTGTTTTTCCCCTCCTGCCACACACACCCCATGACCCTGCTTCTTATGTTGCTTCCTCATCCTGGACTGGGCAGGCCACTGTCATTTTATGTTAACTCTCTGATGTGCGTGTTTCTGTAGGGAGCCCACATCCAGGTCTGAAATATGGTTCCACTTCAACAACACAACTCAGGGACCTTACTCCAGATTTGGATCTGAGAGCAATCACCAGTAGCAGAAGGTTACAGAATGTACAGAGACCCTGAAATGCCTTAACATATGTTCCTGCCAGAATGTGTGATTCTTATTTTATTTTATTAATTAATTAATTAATTAATTAAATAAATTTAATTTATTAAAACATTTCTCTTATAGTCCCCATGCTAATGGATGCCCTGTTGGAGATGGCACTCTGGGATGCGATGGAGGGATTGGGGCAACAATCGCTTCCTGGTTCTACGTGGCTGGATGGTGTCCGAGGCCTCAGGATGAGGCTCCCACACTTTCATGTCTGGCCCGCCTTTACATGATCTGGCCTGCTAGCTTGCTCCTGGGCTGGAATGTGGCCCCCAGACCAAAAAATGTTGCTCTCCCCTCTTCTGGGGTACAAGGACCTCCCCTAGTTCTGCTGTATCAGATACACAATATGGCTCTCATAGAATTATAGAATAGTAGAGTTGAAAGGGGCCATGAAGGCCATTGGGTCCAACTGCCCACTGTTGCAGGACACCAATTTACAGCATCCCATTCAGATGGCTGCCCAGTTTCTGTTTGGATGTTTCAAGTGTGGGAGAGCCCACCACCTCTCTAGGCAGCTGGTTTCACTGTTGCATTGCTCTGACAGTGAGGAAACTTTTCCTGATATCTAGCCTGAACCTGGATAGTCACAACCTGAATGGATTATTCCATGTCCTGCACTCTGGTGTCAGCAAGAAGAGATCTTGACCTTCCTCTTTGTGACAGCCTTTGAGGTATTCTGGAGGGATATCATGTTCCCCCTCAGTCTTCTCAAGGCCGAACATGCCCAGTTCTCTTGGTCTTTCCTCATGGGGCAACACTTTCAAACCCTGCATCATTTTTGTTGCCCTCCTTTGGACCCTTTCTAATTTTTCTACAGCTTTCTTAAATCTTGGTGCTCAGAACTAGACACAGTATTCCAGATGAGGTCTGACTAGGGGATCTACTACTTCCTATGATTTGGATGTATTACGGCTGTTAATGCATCCCAAAATAGCATGCGTCCTTTTTACAGATGCATCACATTGTTGGTTCATATTTAGCCTGTTGTCCACAATTACTCCAACATCTTTTCCTTTTACAATTTGGTAGAGCCGTGTATTTGCTATCTTGTATCAATGCATTTGGTTTCTTTTTTCTAGGTGGAGGACTTAGCACGTGTCCCTGTTGAATCTCATTCTGTTGCTTTCAGCCCAGCATTTAAGTTTATCAAGATTGCTCTGGATCTTCATTCTGTCTTCTTGGGTGTTTGCTATCCACCCAGTTTTG